ATTTCTCCATACTTACTCTGCTTGCTTTTTCTTCATCATCTTGTATCTACAAGTTTTTAGCCATTGTTTTTTCAATTTTTTTCTGCCCCACTCTCTTTCTTCTCCTCCATCTAAGATCCTAATAGAATGCTTGCTTAAGCATTTTATATAATCTAACACACATCCATAAGACTCTGATCATGTTTGTTTTCCAATCTTTTTTCTCCACGTTGCCCACTTTGAATAATCTATTTATTTTTCTTCACCTTCACATTTTTATTTCCTGTCATGTCTACTACCTAATGAGTACATTTTCTGAAACTGTACTTTTCAGTTCTAGGAATTCTCTTTGGTTTTCATCACTTTTGCTGCTAGAATTTCCTACTTCTCTGCAGAGATGTCCATCTTTTGCTTCGGGGAATGAAGGATAATGGTCCATTTAAAATCCTTCTTCCTTAGTCCCAACACCTTAGAGTCAGACTAGATTGCCTTTCTTTGTACTTAAGGATACAATTTCATTTTTTTGGTTCCATGTATGTTGGGTAAGGTTGGACTGCACCATCAATTTGATTCTGGATTCTTATTTTTCTCCCATAAACACTGCTTCCTTTATTTTCAGTATATAATGTTCTTGACTGGGCTTAAACTACAAACTGATTTTTGCGTAGCAGCTCTGATGTCTGTTCAGGTCTGTCCACCAGGTCTGCCGTCAGTTCATGGGTTAGTCAAAGATATGGCTCTTCTTTTTCATGCTTCCACCAGTGTCCCAGTTTTGTGGCCCCACTTCATGGTTCTTCAGTCCACAAACACAGGTTTTCCTACGCGTGCCTCCAGCTAAGTGCCATGTGGACTGCACTTAGCTCCCGGCTATTTATTTTTACAACATCTCTTTCTCTCATCTGCATGAACTCCCCACCAGTCTATCTGCTTCTTCCACTTACTCTCTAGGATCTTCAGATGGTTGCCCTTTGCATAATCTCTAGGTTTTACGGTTGTTTTCTATAGTGAGTATCATCCAGAAAGATGGAATTAATTTCCACTGTGTGGAAGTTAATTAATTAATTAATTGATTAGCTAATTAAGTTAATTAATTTCTTAAAAGTTTAGATACCAAATCACAGACTCTCTATAAAGAAACAGTTTTATTAATTAGAGGAAATCACAAATTAAAAAATGCTGTCAAGGAAGAACCCTAAGATTTCCTTCCATCTGCTGAGGGCTAAAATGCTGACCTCCATGCACCAAGTACCTACTGTGTGCTTACTGCTATGTTATACAAAGAAAAGGCCTTCAGAAGAGAGTATACACAGCAAACACAAGGACAATTTCACTCAAGAGGTGAAAATCAGAGAGCCTGGCACAAAGCAAGATAAAGCAACACCAAGAGGAAAATTAGAATAGAATACGATGGATTTGGTATAAAATAGAACCTGATGGACTGATCGACAACCAGCCCAGTGACGAGCAAGGGCTTCTGGAGGAACAGAACGAGCAGGGAGAATCGATCTTTTGGACTAAAACATACACTGTGTTCCCCAACCAATGACATTCTTGAAGCCAGAAACCTTGGGCGGGGAGGGATACTGATTTTTCCACAAGGACCCATCTATCTAAATTCACTAGTGTAAACCCCTTTCTTTTGGGATAGAAGCAGATACAATCACATTTATCCTATTCTTCCCATTCTACCCAGTACCTGACCCCCACTTCCTTCCTAACATCTACGACACAACAGTTAACAGAGCAATTTGGAGGAGTATTTACTTTTTTGAATATGGAAACTAATAGGATTTACAATAGTCCTGAAGGGCTTATTTTATCAGGAAATTAAAAGCTACCTCTTCAATCATAAATGCATACATATACTTATTTGTGCTATTTATTCATTTATGTGTAGTTTTGCTCCAAAAGAGACTTAAAGTACATAATTAAAAAGAATATAAGCTTGCAAGTTCTGAAAAAAAAAAAAAAACCACCTTGAATTATGTATATAAAAATTAAGAGGGGCCGGTGCTGTGGCGTAGCAGGTAAAGCCACTGCCTGAAGAGCTGGCATCCCATATGGGCACCAGTTCTAGTCCCGGCTGCTCCACTTCTGATTCAGCTCTCTGCTATGGCCTGGGAAAGCAGTAGAGGATAACCCAAGTCCTTGGGCCTCTGCACCCATGTGGGAGACTCAGAAGAAGCTCCTGGCTCCTAGCTTCAGATCGGCCCAGCTCTGGCCATTGCAGCCATTTGGGGAGTGCACCAATGGATGGAAGACCTCTCTCTCTCTCTCTCTCTCTCTCTCTCTCTGCCTCTCTGTAACTGCATATTATGAAAAAACTATGTATGAATTTCAAAGTTTTTGTACCAAAATAACCTTACCTTTCAATTTCATTTGCAACCAGTATTTGTTTCCATTTTAATTTGTTATTTTATTTGAAAGGCATGCAGACAGGGGGTGGATGGGAGGAAGAGAGAGAAAAAGAGGAGGGAGAAAGACTGACTGATCTCCCATCCACTGGTATACTTCCCAAATGTCCACAACATTCCATGCCGGGCCAGGCTGAAGACAGGAGCTAGCAACACACTCAGCTTGACAAGTGGCAAGGACCCGATTATATGACCTGCTGCCTCTCCAGGAACACTCTATCAAGAAGCTGGGGGCCGGCGCTGTGGCTCACTAGGCTAATCCTCCACCTGCGGCACTGGCACCCTGGGTTCTAGTCCTGGTTGGGGCACCGGTTCTGTCCTGTTTGCTCCTCTTCCAGTCTAGCTCTCTGCTGTGGCCCAGGAAGAGACAGTGGAGGATGGCCCAAGTCCTTAGGCCCTGCACCTGCAAGGGAGACCAGGAAGAAGCACCTGGCTCCTGGCTTCGGATCAGTGCAGCGCGCAGGCCATAGCAGCCATTTGGGGGGTGAACCAACGGAAGGAAGGCCTTTCTCTCTGTCTCTCTCTCTCACTGTCTAACTCTGCCTGTCAAAAAAAAAAAAAAAAAAAAAAAAGAGGGTGGAGTGGACAGTGGCCTGCAGGCCCACTCTAAAAAAAAAAAAAGAAGCTGGAATTGGGAGAAGAGCTGGGACCAGAACGCAGGCAATATGGCATGGTATGCAAGCATCCCAAACAACATCTTAAGGGTTGTACCAAATGCCCCCTTTACAAACTATTGAAGTATCCTTCTACATATAGAAAAATGAGAGTGTTTACTTTGACAAATCTGTGCAGAAAACACCTTTCATAGTGATTCAAAGTTGTTACTTTAAATAGTGTTTCCTTGAGCTTTGCAGAATTGAAAACAGTAGTGTTTGAATTATAAATCATTCTACTGAAGATGCACATGTTTTCATATTTACACTGTAGCTAAAAACTAGCATTAGTAAATAAAATCTAATAATAGAAAATGTCTTTTTAAAAATTGCAAGTAAGAAGAACAGGAAATGCAATATAAATATTTACTCGTTCACATTCTATGCACACTTTACTGGTTCATGTACTACAATATTCCCATTACAACATATAGGTAGACATTCCCATTTACAAGTGGTAACTAATTGTTTCAATATAATTAAATAGCTCTGAGTCTCACAGAATTGAAAACTCTTTATAAAATAAAATATCAGACTACTAGGTTCTTTAAAACATAAGAGGTCTTAACTAACATATGCAACATATTTTACAGTATGCATCTAATTATACTTGGCTAACTTTCTCAGATTCTGCTGTACCTCATTTTAAATAAACCTGTGTCGGTACATAATTAGCTGTGAAGTTGTATCCTAAACTCTTCAGTTTCCCAATGTTATAGAAAGATTCTATTTAAACATGTCTTACTAATATGGTCCAGAACTATCTGTCCAATATGATAGCCAGACTGGTCACATGTTACTATTTAAAAACAAAAATCACTAAAACTAGATAACATTTAAGAATTCAGTTCCTAAACCACATTATTCACATTTCAAATGCTCAAAGCTCACTGGGCCAGTGGCTACCATATGGAGCAATGGAAATCTAGTACATTCCATTATTGTGAAATCTCCTGGACAGCGCTGATATAAAGCACAGTCCAAAAGACAGCATAGGGCTCATCTGGAAGACTCAAAGACTCTGACCATTAGTTACAACTCCAGGATGTTTTTCTTCTGCTAATACTTATTTAGGAAGTTTCCAAATTCAGAGTGATGGATTAGTATATATTCTACAGTAACAAATTCCCAAGTAACAATTTGTCTCTGAATTTCTTAGCATTCCTTCTAAAAAAAAATTTTTCCAGAATGAAAAATACTAGAAATTCAGATCCTATACTAAAAGAGTTTGTCTTTGATATACTGGCGGTTACAACAAGGATATGAATATTCAAACGATACATGTAGTTATATTCAAATCTACATGTTTTTTGAAACAGTATGAAGTAAGAAAAGTTAATATTATGATATAGTCATATATCTCAGTAATTCGTTTTTATAAAGAAAACTGCCAAACACCCAGGCAAATCATATAATAACTTCCAAATATCAGACTAGTCACCTGCATAGTATATGTTATTCTCCATTAATAATGAAGTAGAAAAAGAGAACTCGGTGAGGTACAGGAAACATTAATTTGGTGGCAGGAAGATGGTTCAATTAAAAGATTTTCAATTATGTTAATAAATGTTTGTCATTTTCTTCTGAATTTATTAGTGACTACTAAAATTTTTAGCCAATACTTAAAATGTCTCATTTACTGTGTAGTAATTATACATGGGGTCAGATTTCAACAAAACAACCTGCCAAAATATGTCAAGGTTAGAAACAGATATCACACTCTTTCTGACAAAAATTTCAATAAAATACAATATGTTTATCATATCAAAGCTTACAATGCACAGTCAAGGCAAATACGCAGACAAAAAGCTGATATGGATAATTTTCCAATTAATGGCTACTTCTCAAAATATTACTTGGTTATCTTATAGAGAAGAATGAAAAATTTTATTTCACATTTAAAATATGAATAAATTTTAAGATAACTGATTTTTTACTCCAAGGTTTAACTTACCGAATCATTCCGACCAAAAAAGGTATATATTGCATACAGGTAATAATCGAACAGTTGAGACATGAAATGGATAACATCAAAGGCAATTGGCTTAAGAATATTCATCATCTGCATGTATTTCCCTGAAAATAAAAAAAGAAAAAAGAAAACATTTAAAATCTGTTATTCTGTAAGCATAAAAACACAACTATGAGCCGGCGCCGCGGCTCACTAGGCTAATCCTCCACCTTGCAGCGCCAGCACACCGGGTTCTAGCCCCGGTCGGGGCGCCGGATTCTGTCCCGGTTGCCCCTCTTCCAGGCCAGCTCTCTGCTGTGGCCAGGGAGTGCAGTGGAGGATGGCCCAGGTGCTTGGGCCCTGCACCCCATGGGAGACCAGGAGAAGCACCTGGCTCCTGCCATCGGATCAGCGCGGTGCGCCGGCGGCAGCGTGCCGGCCGCGGCGGCCATTGGAGGGTGAACCAACGGCAAAGGAAGACCTTTCTCTCTGTCTCTCTCTCACTGTCCACTCTGCCTGTCAAAAAAAAAAAAAAAAAAACACAACTATGACACAAAAATACCTAAGTGAAATGGAAAACTGCATTCCACAGTAACACCAGCCAAGTGTCAAGTATTCAGTAGTTACAAGTAGTTAGTGGCTACTGTTATAGACAGCACAGATCATCCACAGTTCTGTCATCTTGGAAAGTCCTATGGGACCACTTGGACACAAACAATACAATCATGTTTTCCTATTACAACATTCTACTGCTTGTCCAATTTCTATCAAACTATACTCTTCTACAAATAACACTGTACACATAACACAGTTCCTCTTCTAGGATGTTCCATTTAAAATACTTTCTTCAAAAATATTTAAGTGCAATAAAGCAAAATACAGCAGAGAAAAAGTGGTTCTATTGAAAAAGCTTAAACACACACCACAAAAGGAAAAAGAACATTTGGAAAACACTGTCTGTTCCCCTGAACCCTTGCCCTGTGAAATCTTGTGGCAGAGGCCAAGAACATTTCTTGATCACTCCATCACTCAAGAGCTCACCACTTTCAAAGTGCCAAGATGTCAATATTCAAATCTCTCCCCCCTAAAGCAGGGAGGGGAACCTTTTTTCTGCCACAGGCCACCTGCATATTTATAAAACCATTTGTGGGCCATACAAGATCATCAACTTGAATCAACTTGAAAAGTAGCCTGCTCTAGACCTACTGAAGTTCAAGTGCTGCCTGTGGTTGCCTTGGCAGAGCCAGAACAGATGGTTTCACCGGACCCACACATCCCACACACCGGACGTTCCCCACTCCTGTCCCATCAACTGGTGTTACCGAAAAAATTTTAAAAATCAACTTTTGGGGGCTGGCACTGTGGCGCAGTGGGTTAATGCCCTGGCCTGAAGTGCCAGCATCCCATATGGGCGGCTGTTCAAGTCCCGGCTGCTCCTCTTCCAATCCAGCTCTCAGCTATGACTTGGAATGGCAGTAGAAGATGGCCCAAGTCCTTGGGCCCCTGAACCCACGTGGGAGACCCAGAAGCTCCTGGTTCCTGGCTTCAGATCAGCGCAGCTCTGGCCATTGCAGCCATCTAGGGGGTGAACCATCGGATGGAAGACCACTTTCTCTCTGCCTCTCCTCTCTCTGTGTAACTCTGACTTTTGAATAAATAAATATTTTTTAAAAAATCAACCTTTGGCATTGACACACTTGTTTATGTCTCTGAAGGGCAGCTGAGAAACAGGATGAATAAAAAAAAAAACTGTAAGTCCCTAATTCTGATCATTTTGAATGAGAAATGATAGGGAAAGAAGCATATTATTTAAATGCCCTAACCTTTCTTCTGCAGATGACTTTAAAGCAGGTCATTTGCTTCATTTCCAAATGAGCAAGTAATTCAGGTGCTGGCTGTACATCATGTAACTGCTACAAACTTTACACTGATATTGTTGAGGACATCACGACTCACAGAGAACATGTTAAGTGGGGCCGGCACTGTGGCACAGAAGGCGGAGTCTCTGCCTGCAGTGCCTCCATTCCATATATTTTTGCTTATAACATTCTTTATGTTTACAAGAAAATCCTGTGGCCGGCACCGCGGCTCCATAGGCTGCTCCTCTGCCTTGCGGCGCGGGCACACCGGGTTCTAGTCTCGATCAGGGCACCGGATTCTGTCCCAGTTGCCCCTCTTCCAGGCCAGCTCTCTGCTGTGGCCCGGGAGTGCAGTGGAGGATGGCCCAAGTGCTTGGGCCCTGCACCCGCATGGGAGACCAGGAGAAGCACCTGGCTCCTGCCTTCGGATCAGCGTGGTGCACTGGCTGCAGTGGCCATTGGAGGGTGAACCAACGGTAAAGGAAGGCCTTTCTCTCTGTCTCTCTCTCTCACTGTCCACTCTGCCTCTCAAAAATTAAAAAAAAAAAAAAAAAGAAAATACTGTAATGTTTTGTGTTTTCTAGGTTATTTTCCATCTTGTTTCCTTAAATAAACTCCAATAGCTAGTAGAATTTCTAGAGCAAAGTATTAGCTCAAAAAAAATCTATTAGATTGAATGCAATGCACTTGGCAAAAAAAAAAAAGTGACTATATTTCCTTAACTTAGAAATTAAAACATATCATTCTTTATTACAGCAAAGTGAACAGTGGATGTTAGCAAGCTCATAAATACACAAAAATATGTTTTAAGCATTTGAAAAGATACTTAAATTCACTCATAATTAACACATTTTTGAATGAGAAGTCATTTTCAACTGATCAGACTGGCAAGCATCCCAAAACGAATCCTGCACTGTTGCTGAGAAACTGGGAAAGCAGATACCCAAACAGTGTCACCAAATGGCTTTTCTAAGCTTGCCAGTAACCTTACCAGCCAGCTGCTAATATCCATCAAAACAGCAAATACACACTTTGACCCAGCCAGGGGAAGCAGTTATAGGCATTTGTCCCACATCTCGATTTACATATGGACAAAGGTATTTCCTCAAAGATTATTTGCTGTGGCACTGTACTATCACATGGCTGGAGATAAACTAACGGTCAAAAATCGAGGACTTACAAATTGTGATACGTCTACTACAAGGCCCTTCAAATGTACAAAGAAAATGTGTATTATGAAAAATCTATGTGGCCAGCGCCGCGGCTCAATAGGCTAATCCTTCGCCTGCAGCGCCGGCACACCAGGTTCTAGTCCTGGTCAGGGCACCAGATTCTATCCCGGTTGCCCCTCTTCCAGGCCAGCTCTCTGCTATGGACCGGGAGTGCAGTGGAGGATGGCCCAAGTGCTTGGGCCCTGCACCCCATGGGAGACCAGGAGAAGCACCTTGCTCTTGGCTTCGGATCAGCGCGGTGCGCCGGCCGCAGCACGCTGGCCGCTGCGGCCATTGGAGGGTGAACCAATGGCAAAAGGAAGACCTTTCTCTCTCTCTCACTGTCCACTCTGTCTGTCAAAAAAAAAAAAAATCTATGCATGAATGTAAAACAGCTTTGCATAAAATAAACACTTTTAATTCTATTTCTTGACAAACTTTTTGAAGTTTTCTTATATACAGTAAGACATGTATGCTAAGATATTTTAGGTGTAACCTTAAGGTACTCGGAGTGAGGAAAGCCTGAAGAAGAACAGTACACGGCTGTTCCTCGGGACCCATGGGAGGGGTTGTAAGGCCCCTTGAGGACAGCAGACTCCTCTCCAACACATGGTCTCCAAGAACTGGAGTGCAGAAATGACAGGGGACAGAACGAGGCGCTTCTGACCTGGAGACCCGCAGCGAGCGGTTCCCTGAAATCCATCTTCCGCGAATGTACACGGAAGACATCCCAGGGACAGAGAAAGTGATAGGCACAAAGGTCTACAGGGGGACACGGGGGACCACGGCAGCACCTAATCCCAGCCCTAAATAAGAAGGACCATGCTCTGCACTGCTTACTGATTGCAACTCTAGTAGAAGACATGGAGGAGACCGAGATGACAGCGGTCATCTCTCTGCTGAAGAGGGTTTTACTCAGGACCAGGGCCTGCGTTAATGGGCTTCTCTCCATTTCTATAAATCTGGTACTACAAAAACAATATCCATGGTTCTGATCAACAATTCCTATTTTTTAAGATATCTTTTTATTTGAAAGGCAGCATGACAGAGAGAGAGGGAGAGACAGAGACAGAGATCTTCCATTGCTGATTCACTCTCCAAATGGCTGCACCAGGTCACAGCCAGGATGTAGAACTCTGCCATCCAGGTCTCCCACGTGGGTGGCAGGGGCCCAAGCACTTGGACCACTTTCCACTGCCTTCCCAGGTGCAGGGAGCTAGATCAGAAGTGGAACAGCTAGGATTCAAACTGGCACTCTGAGATGGGATGCCAGCACTGCAGCCGGCAGTTTAACCCACTGCACCACAATGCCAGACCCTGTAATCCTTATTTAAGGCAAATATCCTCTTTTTTTAGATAAAGAGATTAGCATCACACATTGTTTCTTCAAGTTCCTTGTGCTTACCAAGAAGTTAACAGTTGCATTTCATGTGTGCATTTAACTGAATGAAACATAATAAACACCGCTTCTCAATTTTCTTTTAGCCTTGCATTTTACTTGCCTTGATTCCAATGAATACAAGCCCTTTAGAACAAAAAGCTAAACTACCCACCCAGAGTCTCTTTGGAAGTGGGTAAGACAGGAAACATAAACAACTGCTTGGGTTGGTGGATTGTATTATCTTCAACCATCTGCTCCCCCGATTCCCAGCGAGAGCCTCACCTACTCCTGTCCCCTAAATACTCCTGTCCCCTCCTGAGGCAGAAGCTTACATCTCCCTGCCATTATCCTTGGCCAGCGACAGGTCACAGAGGAAGTCAAGGGTGCCCCACTCCCGACTGAACACTCTAGGAGTCCCAACACCATGCAGCTCCTGATCTCCCTGTGTTCCTGACTGGGCCATCCTTGCTGGTTGTGACTCAGAATGAAGACACGTGAAGCTGAGCTATAGAAGGTCAGGAGCCAGTGTGTCACATGTGAAAGATAAACCTCTGTGGTCAAAATTCACTGGTAAGTCACAGGTGTTTATTCTTTCATCATCATCTAGCAGAAGCTGACTACATCAAACTACATCTCAATGGAGTGTTCAGTCACTGAAAACTACTTAGCTCAAAAGGCTAAGGAGGATGACAAAGATTCTGAAAGGTCTGGAATTCCCAGCAGTGAGGCCCAGATAAGGGAACTGAGCACAGAGTGAAAAACGGACTGGGGTGCGGGGGACCTGAGGAAAGGGGGGACAGGAGAACCACCACCATACAGCTGACTGGTGACCACATGGAAGAAGCGGAGAATATAGGCACAGGTTTACTCTTTGCTTCGAAGGGCAGAACTAAGACCAACAGATAAAATTACAGGAAGGACAGACTTTGGTTCACCACTGGGAAGAGATTTCTACTGCTGCAATCAGCCTAATGAAGGCTGAGCAGTCCTACCAAACAATACTCTGCCAGTGCTCCTGGAACAAAGGCTCGGTGGCACCACTTTGTGGGAACCAGGACCACGAGACCTCTCAGCACCCTCCCAATTCATGACACCATGTGCAATGAGCTCACTGGGATCAAAGAAAAGCCAATTTCCCTGGCAATAATTAGCCACACAACAGCTTTTTAGAACTGGTCCGTTTTCTGTGTGTCAAAGAAATGTATACCTTTTCTTTTCCTCTCAAATTCATTATTATCTTCCCTTATTTTCTCTAAAGAAAGTAGGACTAAAGTCTTTTGTATGTTTCATCCATCAATGAAATTTAGGAATTATCTTAAGGAACAAAGACCATTTCATCAGAGCTATGAATTATTGTTTAATCAAACTTAATAGGTAAAGAACACCTTTATAAATACAACACACAGATTTTAACAGAAAATCACTCCAATTCCTGACTGGTATAGCTGACAATTAATGTGAGCAGACAACACTATAACTTTTTTGTCACATGTGAAGACCTGTTCACGAAATGGAAAGGATGAGATCGTAAGATGTTGAAACATTAAAAAATCTATATCACTCTCAAACCTGTATATTTAAAATGGCATTTTTCATGTTGATTGTCTTCTTTTTTTTTTTAACAGGCAGAGTGGACAGTGAGAGAGAGAGACAGAGAGAAAAGTCTTCTCAATAAAGGTTTTATCTGTAATAAGAACACTTCCTGAGGCCGGCGCCATAGCACAGTAGGTTAATCTTCCGCCTGTGGCTCTGGTATCCCATATGGAGCCGGTTCTAGTCCGGCTGCTCCACTTCCAATCCAGCTCTCTGCTATGGCCTGGGAGAGCAGCAGAAGATAGCCCAAGTCCTTGGGCGCCTGCACTCATGTGGGAGACCAGAAGAAGCTCCTGGCTCCAGGCTTCAGATCAGTCCAGCTCTGGCCGTTGCGGCCATTTGGGGAGAGAACTAACGGAAGGAAGACCTTTCTTTCTGCCTCTCTCTCTCACTATCTGAAACTCTGTCTCTCAAATAAATAAATAAATAAATAAGAACACTTCCGTTAATCTGAACATTTAGCTTGTAAACTCCCGTGTCTGAAAATGCCAGAGATCATTATTTACTCTGCCTATCTGATGGGGAGATAGTGAAGATCCATGAAACAATTAAGAAGAAAACCATTGTGTAAATGTGAAACTGGTTCTATCATTATCCTACAAAAACTTCTAACTCACCTGCAGAATTTTTCATTACATTTCAACTAACTGTAATATTTTAGAAAAATTAGAAGATGCAAAGACTTAATAAGTAGCTACGTGAAAAAGAGAAACTGACATAAATGTTAATTTTACACTATCTGGAAATTTAAGACAAATAGTAAGCTTAAATTCCTCACTATAGAGGGTACTGGAATAGACAATACATGAAAATCATTCAGTAATAAAAACAGACTAAATAAAGTGCTATTTTTTTTAATTCAAGGGTACAGCTACTTACCAACAAGCCTTATGACATTCAACGTTGTATTTGTTAGGATAGGTGCGTTCACTTTATTTAGACTGTAATCTGATTTCTTCCTGCTTTTTAGGGTTTCTCGAGAAACACTTAATTTAGAAAAACAAAACAACCGCAATTAGGATTATAAAGTAATAAACCAGGAAAAGTCACTCATTAGCATCCAGTTTTCATTCCCTATTTACTGAAAACTTACTATCCATCAGGTATAAAGACAAACCTTTTCTCCTTGCAGAATTTATATTCCAGAAGGGAAAACAAATAAGTAGGCAAAGAAATAAAGTGGTATAAATGTATTTATTTGATTCTAAGACATTATCAACCATTTAAAAAAGCTGCATTACTTTAAACATTAGATTTTCTAAGGAAATTATATAGCTAAGTATAGATGTACTAAGTTTCCTAACTTCAGAAACCTGTAAGAAGAAAAAATACTCCCCTTAGAATATAAAGTAAACATAAGTTATGATGACAGAATTCAGGGTTGGAAGGAGATACTAAATTCAAAAGAAAAATCAACATTATACGGTACGTGAAAGAAAGGGAGACAACATACACTAGTGAGAAGAAAGAGATCATGTCTATAGAAGCTCACAAAGGGCATTCTGCTAGCATGTGGAGCGAGTGAGCAGAGGGAGAAGTGACAGGAAAAGAAGTAACTCAAGGCCAGATCACTGAAAGCAATCAAATCCAGCAGGTATGAACCTCATCTTCAACTACAAAAGGTCATGATTAAATCTGTACATAAGAAAATGATCCAAATTTATATCTAAGAATGGATTTGAAGGAGGCAAGACTAGGGACATGAAGCCATTTATAGAAGACAACCTAGCAATCTGTCACAGAGATGATTTAGGCATGAATGAGGAAGGCAGTGCGGAAATGCTAGGAAAACTGAAATTTAAGAGACACCTAGAAGGTGGAATAGTAATGACCAGAAACAACACTGGGAAAGTGAGTGCAGACTTGGCATTTAATAGACTGAGGCAACAACAGCACATATGGAACACATGACTACTTCCTTTCTTGAGGTTTTCTATGTGAAGCACACATTGATTTTATAAATCTAAAGTTTTTTCTTCTGTAAAAAACTACTGATCAAAAGCTCTTTGATCATGTCTGATAATTTCATCAAAGTAATAAAGTAACTTTTTCAAATTTCAAAACATGAGTATATAGATGTGACACAACTTTTTTAAAAAAAGGTATTAGCAAAAAGCTACTTCAAGCTGTATAAATCAGAAGAAAAGCTACATTGAAATTGCTTTCTTTTGCATGTAAAAGTTTTTAAATGGCTAAAACAATATGTTTTTTTCACAGAGTAATCATCCAAATCCAGTTACATAGAACTGGTCTGTAAAGAGCCACAGTTCTGTTAAATACAACTTTTCATATTATTTTTCCCAAGAATGCACTGTTATAGAATATAAGGGAAAAATCTCTACTTTCAACCTTCCAGGAATTTTTCTGGAATATAGAGTCAATTAAAATTATGTCCTAGCAAAAACTGATGAAGAGAGAGGAGGAGATGGAAGAGAATAGAGGAGTGAGGGAAGTGTGGTTGTCTTCTTGGAACTGTACTTATGGAATGCACACAATCTGCTCTCCTTATACCAATACACATTTTTTAAAAGATGTCATACCTACCAAAATATTTTAATTTGTCATTCTTTGTCGCTCCCCCTCTTCGTGGAGGAACGACACTAAACCCTGCCTAGGCTTCATATCCGAGTCACGGCACCATTATGTCGCTCCCCCTCTTCGTGGAGGAACGACACAGGACCCTGCGCTGTTCTTTTGTCTGCTCGGCCCTCCCCGGGTTTGCTGCTGGTTCTTCCCGGGTTGGCTACCGTCCCTTCCACCTCCGTGGAAGGGTGGTTCCCCCTGCCACTTTCCCCACTTCCGCGGGGGAGCGGCACACCGCCGGCCGGCTCTCTCGGGGGCTGCACAGGTGTTCCTTCAGATAGATGTTCCTGGTGCATGTTGTCTCTCTCCTCCTTTATAGTCCTCTTCCACCAATCCCAACTCTGCTACCCACACACCGAGTACGCTGCTCTCCTCCAATCAGGAGCAGGTCCTGCTGTTTATTGGTTGAACTGGAGGCAGCTGTGTAGAAGCTGTTTCCTCCTCTCCCAGCGCCATATTGTGGGAGAGCAGATGCATAGAATAAGTCTTAATTCCAGTAACAGTATAGTCCGAGTTGCTCCTCACAATTCTTGTTTTTTCTTAACCTTCCTATGGTATGTTAAGAGCAAAACATGAAATGCTAAACACCAAGCAATCTAAGGCCAGTTACCTTTTCACAGGAGCATCGCCTGTCTGCTCATCCACGTAGTCTCGCTTGAGTTCCTCAGGAACATCACTGTCACTGTCATACTCTTGGTAGGCACTCTTTTCTTGTTCATCAGATTCATACTGCAGAGAACGCAAGAGCATTCAACAATGCATGTCAAAAGCCATCTTTCCTGCAGGTCTTTCAACACAATAAAGTACTCACTTCTACAAGAAGTTGCTAAAGAAAATTCTCAATAATTTAGCTTTAATTTTGTCACCACAAATCATTTTGTCTTCTATTCATATCCTACTTGAACCAGCTCAAAAGGAAAGGAAAATAAAACTTAAAATTATACTTAAAAGTTCGTAAATGTCCAACAATATATCAAATCTCTAAAAACAAAAATCAAACAAAAGCAAAATAAATATCCTACTTGTCCTGAAACAAGGAAAACAGTTATATTAGATTTTCTTTTACAGTCTCTTGTAGGTTTCATGGCCTTGACTTCCAGTTTTCTAGTTCATTATAAAGAGGTTGGGTATCCAAATCTGGGACTCTCTAAGTGGTGATTCAGGTTAACACAGACATACAACACACACGTGGATGTCTTATCTAATTAATTATGATGAGATTTAATCCGAGGGCAGTTTAGAAAATTAGGCTTAGCACCAAGGGACCTACAGAGAGCAAGGATGAAAGTAGCAGATTTACTCCTTAGAAGAAGGGTGTCTTCTTAACCCTTTCATCATCTCTATCCCACCATGGCCAGTGCCACCATGGGAAAGGACAGTGGAATCCATGAGTAACAAAGATATGACAGAATCATCATGAACATAACCAATCAATATGACATATTAATACAATTAAATAAAGGTTAACATTTGTTGAGTTTGTAAAGGAGTATGTGAAAGGGTTTCCATGAATTACGTCACTGAAGCCTAAAAAACAATTATATGAGGAAATTGTATTCTTATGTAACAGTTTAGGAAACCAGGAACATGACAATATGGAGAGAGGTTAAAAGGCATATATGGTAGGCCACATTTAGATGTGGACTCTGATCCTAAGTTACATCCGGAAAGACCAGATCATACATTATTACAGCAAACAGTATGACAGGCATTCCCCGATACTATGTGAGCTGGTGAGATGCATAAGGGAGTTCTGCACATCTAGTGCTTGCTGGCTGGGACAGAGCTTCAGGACTCCAGAGTGTAGTTAGTAATCCTTATGTGAGGACTCAATGTTTACAAATGTACGTACTTCCTAAAAGGATTTGGAACCTCAAAACTAACACTTAGAAACAGTATTTTGTGGTCTTCATGGACATGTACAGAGCAGCACAAGCTTTGTGCTACTCCGTGTGCACACTCCCCATGGGGCAAACAAGCTCAGCTAATTCAGTGTCCATGGCAACTTTACAGAACACGGCTGTTGTAGACAGTCTGAGTCAAATACTGAGTTTTTATCAACAAATCACTATTATGAGAATATATATTATTTCAGGAAACTTAGAATGACAACTCTTCTAAGTTTAGTCAACTTCATAAGGGCAAATGTCACAAAGAATCACTGAATTGTAACTGAAAATAGTATTTTTTATGAAAGAATTTAAACTTAATGATAAAACATAATGTATATTTTCATGGCAGTATTTTTTTAAATGCATCTTTGTTAAACAGAAAGAAATTCCAAAACCAAAATACAAAGAACAATTCAACAGATTTTTGTCAGAGCTGGACAGTTTCCATTTCCATTTCTCAAATCAAAAAGTCACAGTGGGTCCCTGCGGATAGTATGAAGATCAGAGGGACTCATCAAACAATGCTCCTGGTCAAATAAAATACAGGCATCTCTGGGAACCCATGGAGGACTGGTTCTAGGACAACAAAATGCAGATGCTAGCAGCAGAGTATTTGCATATAATGTGAACACATCTTCCCATACACTATAAGTTGCCTCTACATTACTTAGCATGCCTCACAGATGAGAAATACTACGTAAACAGTTGTTATACTACATTGTTCAGGTAATACTGACAAGGGAAAAGGTCTGTACTTATTCAGTACAGATGTACTAATTTTTAATATTGTTATTTCATATTTCATGAATTCACAGATGGAGAACCCACAGATATGGGGGCTAATTGTATTATGAAAATATCCCACATGTAACTGCAAAGCAAGCATTTCCCTCATTACAAATACAGGGAAACAAAGAGTCACAAAGTAAAAATAATTCGCCAAGGGCCCACAAAGCTAATAAACATTAAATGTCATATTCCTTATCTGCCTTCAACCCTTTTCCACTAACTCACATTCTCTCTCATTAACACGGTTTTTGATCTGCTCAAAGTGTTGTTAAAACGTGGTACTTCTAAATCCTAAAAACATCCTTACCAAGAACTTAAGCACAGCATTACTCTCTCAGATATGGGGACTTCAAATAAAATTACTCACTTAGTTACCCAGGAATGGAGTTGAGAGAACAATGAGGGTGATCTATTCCTTTAACCATCTCTCTGCATAGTAGATCTTATATTCACTGAAGAAATTACACTACTACTCAATAAATAATCTGATAAAAACATGCAGCAAACATAAAGGCAAAATTTATTGTTCAAGAGGACAATGTCCACAAAGTATATTATAAAGTCATTATCTGTACAAGTGATGTCACATGTACACAGGGGTAGGACAGTGGGTGGTAGACAAATGAGTGTCTAATAAATTATCTTGCTCACTGGGTGGAACACTTTTAAATAAACGAATCTCACATATGGTTCACAATATGCTTCAAAAACATCACGTACCCCATTAGAAGCCAAGACATCCTCCGTTTCTTCGTCCTTGTGGTTGGCCTGGATTTCAAATGGATTGCCGCCACTGCAGTACTGCTCAAACAAGGTCACTGACTTTGAGGAAGTCGAGACTGGCTGCTTACTAGGTGAAACCGATGGGGAACGGGACTGCTCCAGGAATTTAAATTCCTAAACATTAAAAAAAGGAGGCAAACAACAAAATTCAAGTACATGAACACATTCCATCAAAGTCAAAGTTGAGTTAGGAAAAAAAAAAAACACTGTTCTTTAGGTTATTCACGTTTAAGTCTTATTAGCTGTGTGAAAACACAACTTGGAAAGATGTGTAAAGGTTTTCGTAAAGTCACTTGAACGTATGATCTGGATGAAGCTACTTTTGACGTACTTTAAGGAACTGCAAATAAAATTTTTTAAAATAACAAGAAATTTGTTTGATTTCTTCCAAAAATTTTAACATGCAGCCAAGGCCCTCATACTACTGTTTGAATCAATAAAGTCATTTATGAAAACTGTGTGACTTTACTGTTGTTAAGTCAGCACCTTGCTTACTCACACACTTGCACCACAGAAGATATTCTATACAGATCCATCAAAAACAAAGCATGAATTCTATTTCCTTCCTTGTTAAATGGAAATCTATAAACTTTCATTTACTTTTATGTATATACCAAGAAGGCAATGTCACAAACACCTGTGCTGAAGGTCGATGATGTATCTTCCACACCAAGCTTGCTATTAACCCAGTATGTGCCATAGATAATGATTAGAATGTCACTTGGCCTCTCTATACCTCAATTTCCTCATCAGTAAAATGAGAGGATCAATCTGGATCGAGAGACTCCCAAACACTAAAGCTTCATCCATTACCCAAATGAAGAAACAGGCAGGCTGGAGAGGTTCAGTACCAAGCACAGATTACACAGCTAACTTGAGGGAAAGTTGTGATAATTTCTAAAGTTCCACTGCATTAGAACACTCAAAGAATTATCACACACATGTATTAAACATGTTCTCCTACCTGAGAAGATAAATCCTGAATTTAATTGTTTATATGACTTATATGATTTTTTTTTTTTTTTTTTTTTTTGGACAGGCAGAGTTAGACAGTGAGAGAGAGACAGAAAGGTCTTCCTTCCGTTGGTTCACCCCCGAATGGCCACCATGACCGGCACGCTGCGCCGATCCGAAGCCAGGAGCCAGGTGCTTCCTCCTGGTCTCCCATGCAGTTGCAGGGCCCAAGCACTTGGGCCATCCTCCACTGCCTCCCCAGGCCACAGCAGAGAGCTGGCCTGGAAGAGGAGCAACCGGGACAGAATCCAGCCAGCGCCCCAACTGAGACTAGAACCAGGGGTGCTGGTGCCGCAGGAGGATTAGCCTAGTGAGCCACGGCACCGGCCTATATGACTTTCTTAAAAGATATTTTTAAGTTCTTAAAAGGTACATGGGCTTAAGTTTTAAATGATGTATTTATTCTTTTTATATTTTAATCACACATGATGTAAGGCCTAGCATAATGCCAAAGAATCATGCCATTATTTTTATAAACAAGGAATGAACATAAATCAGTAAGACAAAAAATTTTAACGCCAAATCCAAAGAAATACATGTGTCCGATGGATACTGAGTTATGAAGTCTTTAAGATAACTATTTTAGAAAAAATTAATGCACAATTGAATGGAAATGGTTCATTATGCCACTTAAAAAGTCTTATAATTACACCAAGTATGTGTACAAACACTGACTTAATGTGATGGAAAAATAAAAATTCAAATAAAATTGTTTAACCGTGATCTACCTATGGGCACTAAACGTTGACACTTGGTTGAACACAGTGTTTCATGCAAGAATTCTACAATGTGTTTAATCAAGCAAAAATCAAACCAATTCAAGACTTTTTCACAGAACACTCATTTCATAAGAATTCAAGGACTCAATTAGCTACTAAAAACTGCTTAGGAATAATTTTCACCAGTCTATCTTGTATTTCTAGGGCATTTTCTCATTACAGAAAGATTTTTTTTTTTTTTTTTTTTTTTTTTTTTTTGACAGGCAGAGTGGACAGTGAGAGAGAGAGACAGAGAGAAAGGTCTTCCTTTGCCGTTGGTTCACCCTCCAATGGCCGCCGCGGCTGGCGCGCTGCGGCCGGCGCACCGCGCTGATCCGATGGCAGGAGCCAGGAGCCAGGTGCTTCTCCTGGTCTCCCATGGGGTGCAGGGCCCAAGCACCTGGGCCATCCTCCACTGCACTCCCTGGCCACAGCAGAGAGCTGGCCTGGAAGAGGGGCAACCGGGACAGAATCCGGTGCCCCAACCGGGACTAGAACCCGGTATGCCGGCGCCGCTAGGCGGAGGATTAGCCTAGTGAGCCGCGGTGCCGGCCTCATTACAGAAAGATTTAAGAATTGCAGTTTATTTAAGAACATATTTGTTCCTTTAAGAAATGACAAATATTCTACAACTATAAATAATACTTTTACCAATATAACTACAACTATAAATAATACTTTAACCAATATAACTATTTAATTTTTTGCAAAATTTCAAGAAAGCAGTAGACTTTTTCCTGAATTCAAAAGGGGAAAAATACCATCTGAATTGTGACTCATTTTAGGCACAAGTATTCTTGAAGTGTATAAAGTAAATTTTGTAAGGAGTCAGATGTTCACACACACAGAAGGTTCATTCTTGTTAAGAGGCTGACTTTTAATCTCTTGCAAGAATGATACGGCATTGTTCCTTAATTATTTTATACATGCTGTCATATATCTGGGTTTAAAACATTAATAAGATGACTAAAAGATTTCTTTTTTTCTTAACACTTACGTGAAGTTGTAAGATGCTGAAATTCGATTTAACAGGACAAAGTTCCCACGTTTCATTCTCTAAGAACATTCTCAGCTCATCAAGTCGCGTTCTTAAAGAAAAATGTACAAAGAAGAAAAGCACACTATAGATAAGAATTGAGGAAATAATGTTCAGTGCAAACAATCACAGATTTATCATCATCACAGTAAACTTCAAAAACACATTCAGATTAACACAGTAAACATAAATGTGTACTCCTAATTGATAATGTCTTATTATCCTTAAAAGTTCTCTCAAATATTTACTAACCTTACGTATTTTCACCATACTGCAAAAATAATGAATGTGTAAGAAATGACAGTTTTACTCAGGAACTAAACTAAAAGCTTGTCTCCAACTCATGAATTTAAAATATTCTTAGCTAATCATACATCAATGATAAAACACAGAGAAATAATTCACAGATGCATGAGATTATAAATACTAATAAACAATTTACGTTAAGCAGCACTGATGGTAATCACACTGAGTCACAGGTTAAGAAGATTATCCATTTCTGATGACACTGAGCTCAGGATTGATCTTTGTACAGGTTTTACAATTAAATTAGCAAGTAAGACACACATGTACTCCACATTCCGCTAATCACTATTTCATACAGAGCTCTTCTTTCTCGGACTCTTGGTGTCTATCCTGAGTCATCATCACATTATAAAGGCAGTCCCTGGAAAACTAACCCTTCTAGCTGAAAAAAGGGTAATGTCCACTCTTTCTTCTTCCTATTACAAACTGTTACTGCCATGCAAAAAAAAAAAAAAAAAATGAAATTCTTTTTAAATCCAGGCATTCTAAACTCAAAAGGCAATAAACAGATGAATTTGTGAAAAGCAAGAATTGCTCCAAACTTTTCAGTTAACAGTTAAGGACTTTATGATAATTATAATAAGTTAAATAAAACAGAGAAAAAGATGTACAAAGTGAGTAAGAGAATATCAAATAAGATAATTTCAAAAATGAAAACAAAAAAGGAAGCATATAGACATTCCAGAACTGAAAAATATGTTTGTAAATAAAAACTGGGTCAGTAAAATAGCAGATCAGAGGTAGCAGAAGACAGGATTAGTGACCTCCACAAATCCACAGAAAATACCCAAATTAAAACACAACTTACAGAAAGAAAAATGGAAGAAACAGAAAGCATCATAAAAGATATGCATCTTGTATGCACACAATTGGATAGTGGGCAGAGAGAGAACGAGCAGAAACAGGATCTGAGGAGGAAAGGGCCAAGAATTCCCAAAAGTGATCATGCCCATGCCTCACATCATATACAATGACTGAAATGGATCACAGATCTAATGGAAGAATTAAAATTATAAACGCTACAACTCAATGACAAAAAACCCATAATTCAATTTTTAAAAATGGGCAAAAGCATTGAACAGCTATCTCTATAAAGAAGATGCACAAATGGCCAACAAACACATGAAGAGGCTAAACATCAGGAGTTACTCGGGAAACACAAAGCATAAACAGACGCTGTTCACACTGCTGGGGACAGCTGTAACCAGAGACAAACCATAATGCTGTTGACAAGCTTTTGTAGAAACTGAGAACTTCTTCCCACACTGCTCGGAATGTAAAATCGTACAACTACTTTGGAAGACAGTTTCACGGTTCCTCAAAATGTTAAACACAGAATTCCCAGAGAACCCAGCAACTCTCCTTTGTATTAGCTCCTGGTGGATGCTCTAGCAATTTTCCACCAGCTGGGTGACTGAAAGAGTAGAAATGTGTTCTCTCCCAGTTCTTGGGGGCCAGAAGTCTGCTGGCACTTTCTCCAGAGCTCTCGGGAGGAGAACCCATCCCTTCCCTTTCCCTTCCTGGCGGCTGCTGCCATTCAGGGAACTGTGACCACCATACTCCACTGCCAGCCTCTGGCTTCATGCTGCCTTCTCCTCTGTGTGTGCAGAGTTGTTGCTCTGTGTCTGTGCAAACTCCCCTGTGCCCTCCTCTCACTTGTGATGGTTTTTAGGGTCTACCCAGTGAATCCAGGACAATTCCATTACAAAGTTCTTCATGTCATTCCCAGAGACACTTTTTCCAAAGAAGTTAACATTTACAGCCTTCCGGGATTAGGACTTTGTGTGTGTTCCTGTGTGTGTGTGGACGGCAGAAAGGGTGTATGTCATTGTTTTCACTCTGTCATACACTCCTAGATGTACACTATGAATGAGGAAAGAAAGCAGAGTTTGAAATTCTAACTCACTGGTATCAAGTAACAACAAAACGAAAATGAACTTTAAGACATAATTCAATTCAAATGACAAAATGCGCCTAAGGAATAAACTTAGGGTCTAGCGTTTATTAAGAGAGTTCTAATCAACATTGGCTTCCTCTGGTCCTCAAATTTAATGCTGCTCTAAGCACACAATCACACTGAACATTCCTGCCTGCCGATCTCCACTCCTAAATCCATTCCTGCTACACTCCATGTAAGTTAGCAGTGATTGCCTTGCTAGGCAATGTGGTACCCGATCTTGGCTTTGAAGCTGGCTCCTCAACTCCATGCCCTATCCTCCAGAAGCCTGCTTACTCCTAATGACAGATGCTCTCTAGCACCCCTCAGTGAACTCCGTCTCTACTGATTTAACTTCCTTATTACAGACGCAGGCATGAGCAGCAGCCAAGTTCTTTCAGTGAGCCCTGATTTAACGCTAGCTTTTACTCATACAGAAGTCTGCTCACTGTTTAGTTCAATATTTTGAACCCTTCAAGAGTAACAGTATATGAATATTTACAATAATAATGAAAATATTTTATAGTGGTTTTTATTTTACAAGCCCTTGATCACCCTAGAATGAGTTATAAACAAAATGCTCATTCCAATTCAAAAGTAATTGTTTTGAGTCAATTAGTGCCATAATATTAAGTATCAGACAATAGTATTCCCATTACCTCAGTAGGCTTGTTCTTATTTTATTAGCATTCTTACCTATGGTAGTTCTTGAAATAATTGACACTTTGTTTTCTAATAGACTCTTGCAAAACTTCAGACTTGCTCCCACAAAATTCTTCTCCAACTTGCATCAACCTAGTAGGATAAAAAGGTTTATGTAAATTTCCACAATATAGTTAAGATTGGTTCTTTTTCCTTAAAGACAACAAATCATAAAAATGCAGATATTTGAAAAAAATTCTAAAGATTACAAACCTATTACAGTTTACTTAACATCAAATGGAAGAACTATTTAAAGAAACAGGCACACACAGAAACACACATACACCCAGCAGCAATTCAAATATGAATGTGCAATTACGTTAATTTCCATGAAGTTAAACATGATTCACTAATTCATGATTTCTCTGATTATCATGGTTGAATGAATCAAACTGAATAAGACAAGATCTCAAATACTACCTGCTGATTATATCCAAAACAAAGATGAAGTCATCATATTTGAATATAGACAAATCAGTTCCAAGCAAGTAGGTTTTCACTTTCAGCTGAACATCCTGTAAAACCAATAAACAAACAAAAAAATTCAACAAACTCAAAATATAGAAAACTAGTCAGTCTTTTAGAGTTGCAGATTAAAATGAAGCAGGAACATGTTCCTTCTAATAAAGATTTTGTATTTAGGTCAGTAGTCAACATCTTTATGGGTAATATAATAGAGAAAATTCTCTATATATCAGATACAAACTAGTAATGTCACAGCAGTCATCATTACAACTTAACACAGTTGTATGTATTTCTGTTTAACATAAAACATACACATGCACCTCAAGAATTATATCCTCACACTGGAAATGGGGATTAAAGTCACCAACTGTTATTTATGCATGGGTTGGTTGGTCAAAACCCCAAAACAATCAGTTCAAAAACAATCAAAGAAAGGGGCTTTGGGCTTAGTGGCTAAATGCACCTCATCACAGAGTGCATGGGTTTGAACCCAGGTCTGCCCTTGACTCCAGCTTCCTGCTAATGCAGAGCCTGTGGGACAGCAGTAATAGCTCAAGTAATTAGACTCCTACCACCGACACAGGAGGCCTGGACTGAGTTTCCAGCTCTGACTCAAGCCCTGCTCAGCCCAGGGCATTGTGGGCATCTGGGGAGTGAACCAGCAGATGGCAGTACTCGGGTTCTCTGCCTCTCCAATCAATTTTTTTTTTTTTTTTTAAGATTTTATTTATTTGAAAAGCAGAGTTGTAAACAGAGAGGGAAAGACAGACACAGACAGAGACTGACCTTCCATCTGCTGGTCCACTCCCCAAATGGCCACCAACAGCTGGGGTTGGGCAAGGCCGAAGCCAGGAACCTGGAACACCATCTGGGTCTCCCACATGAGTGGCAGGGGCCCAAGCACTTGGACCATCCTCCACTCCTTTCCAAAGCACATTAGCAGGGAGCTGAATTGGAAGTGGAGTAGCCAGGAGTCAAACCAGTGCCCATATAGAATACCAGTGGTGCAGGCAGTTTAAACCAACACACCACAACATCAATCCCTCAAAATGAATCTTAGTAAGTCAAAATACTCAGAATAAGATAACAGAAATGACCACACACAACACAAAAAAACTGATAGCTTTCATTTTTTTTTTTTTTTTTTTTTTTTTTTTTTTTTTTTTTTTTGACAGACAGAATGGACAGTGAGAGAGAGAGAGACAGAGAGAAAGGTCTTCCTTTGCCATTGGTTCACCCTCCAATGGCCGCCACGGCTGGCGCACTGCGGCCAGCGCACAGCACTGATCCGATGGCAGGAGCCAGGTGCTTCTCCTGGTCTCCCATGGGGTGCAGGGGCCCAAGCACTTGGGCCATCCTCCACTGCACTCCCGGGCCACAGCAGAGAGCTGGCCTGGAAGAGGGGCAACCGGGACAGAATCTGGCGCCCCGACCGGGACTAGAACCTGGTGTGCCGGCGCCGCAAGGCGGAGGATTAGCCTAGTGAGCCGCAGTGCCAGCCTTTTTTTTTTTTTTTGACAGGCAGAGTGGACAGTGAGAGAGAGAGAGACAGAGAGAAAGGCATGTTTTTCTTTTTAAATTGTAGCTGTGTTAGAAAGAGGACAGGGAATGGCCGGCGCTGTGGCACAGTAGGTTAATTCTCCGCCTGTGGCGCCAGCATCCCATATGGGCACCGGTTCTAGTCCTGGCTGCTCCTTTCCCAATCCAGCTCTCTGCTATGGCCTGGGAAAGCAGTAGAAGATGGCCCAAGTGCTTGGGTCCCTGTACCCCTGTGGGAGACTGGGAAGAAGCTCCTGGCTCCTGACTTCGGATCAGCACAGCTCCGCCCATTGTGGCCATTTGGGGAGTGAACCAACAGAAGGAAGACCTTTCTCTCTGTCTCTTCCTCTGTCTGTAACTCTCTCAAATAAATAAAATAAAATCTTTAAAAAAAAAAGAAAGAAAGAGGACAGAGGAGAGAGGAGTGTAGAGGAAAGGAGAGGAGAGGTGAGGTGAGGAAGAAGGAAGAAAAGGAGGGGGAGGGAAATGTCATCTTCTTAGGATTGTACCTATGAGCCACATGGAATCTGTTCTGTTTGTACTAATATCACATTCACATGAGAATTGAAGAGAACTGTGTTGTAGTAATCATCATGCATTTGCTGTGAACCTGAGAATCTAATGTATTAATAGATTCCTTTAAAAAATAAAAATGAAATGTTAAAAACAATTTTAAAAAGCCAAACCTGCCATATTCGTGTAAGTCCATGTTCTAATTTCTTTTTTATGTAACCACGATCAAAATTCGTTTCTTCGGTACCCATAATATTACTCCCTTCTGAAAATAAAAGATGGCATGGTTTTTAGATTTACTTCAATGTATTTTTGTTTCCCAGACAATTTCCATTTAATCAAAAAAAAGTCAAAAAGTATTATAAATAAATCTTTAAAAAAGTATTAAAGTTAATCCTATTTATGATAGGTTAAAGTTACACTGTGAAATACTAAATATTCTCAAGACCACTCATTCACAACTGACTAGATCTGAGAGTCTAACCAAGCAATGTGGTCCTCAGGTTCTCAACGGCCATATACTATCAGCTGCAAGACCATGACGTCACAGGCTAGGGCCAGGGCATTAAGAATCAATTAAATGAGGCTGGCATTCCACCTGAAGCACCAGCATCCCATATGGGTGCCGGTTCGAGTCCCAGCCACTCCACTTCTGATTCAACTTCCTGCTGATGCACCTAGGAAAGCGGGGGAGGATAGGCCAAGTGCTTGGGCCCTTATACCCACGTGGGAGACCCGGAAGGAACTCCTGACTCCTGGCTTTGGCTTGGTCCAACATGGCCCTTCGGAAGTGAACCAGTGGATGAAAGATTTCTCTCTCTCTGTAACTCTGCCTTTCAAATAAATAAAACAGATTTTTAAACCAATTAACTCAATTACCAATTAATGTGCATACTAACAAGAATACACAACATAGAACTTCTCAGTGAGGTCATGAGGGCCACATTTTATATTTTTCATAATGCATAAAGATTTACTCATTCCAGATCATCTAATAATGTGCAGTTCAACAGGTAAGATCAATAATCTGCCTCACAATTTTCCTTAAGAACAACAGGGACTATACAGACATTTATGTTAAAAAAAAAAAAAAAAAGTGTGCCTCGCCTCTGTGTGACTAAACCAAGGAGGAAAACTGAATCCACTACTACTATCATCTCGCCTTGGGCTGCCAGGGTGTCTGCTGGCAAGGGGTAAAGAGCCCTCGCTCAGGGCCAGCCCCAGGCACATGCCTCCTTCCCCTCAGAGCACTCCCCGAGTGTCACAGGAGGCAGCTCTCACGGCCAAGGACCCAGCAGCTATGGCAGAGCACCTGAACTAGAGCTTCAGAGTTTTACTTTAGAACCTTTAAGTGTTAGGACACCAAATAGTACAAAAAATTACTACAGAGCTATAGCATGTGAATTCCAGAATCCTCTTACAGGGGTGAGAGTGCAGGACTGGGTACAAATCGCCTGGCCTGCAATGCCAGCGCAGGGTCCACTCTTATCTCCACTTTTTCTTCTTTTTCTCCCTTTCCTTACCTTCTCCTCCCCAACAATATTTCTTTTTTGTTTTTATTTAAGATTTATTTATTCATTTGAAAGAGTTACAGAGAGAGGGGGGGAGAAACAGAGAAAGGGATCTTCCACCCGCTGGTTCACTTCCCAAATGCCTACAACAGCCGAGGCTAGGTGAGGCTGAAGCCAGGAGACAGGAGCTTCTCCCACATGGGTTGCAGGGGCCCATGTACTTGGGCCATCTTGGGCTGCTTTTCCAGGCCATTAGCAGGGAGCTAGATTGGAAGTGGAGCAGCTGAGCTCGAAACTAGAGCCCGTATGGGATGCCGGCATCAGAGATGCCAGTACAACCCACTGTACCACAGCACCATCCCCCCAACAATATTTCTAATGAAAACCCATCCATAGAATCCTCCTCTCTCATTTTTTGCTTTTTGTTTACAGGTTTCTTATTGGTCAAAGATGAATATTAATTTATGTCTTCTAAACCTCTGAAACCCTATGCTTAATCCAACTGGAAGACCTGGGTGTTCCCTCTACCCACACTACCACAAAAATTAAGCAATTCAGAAAGGAGAAGTTATTGGACTAATTGGATTGAACAGCTACATAAAGCAGTATGCAATATCAAAAGCTGTGCAAGATAATTTAATTTGTCCATTATTAAACAAAATATTGACAAATCCCTTTATTCATTTAAAAATACTTTGAACGCTTAATCTTAGCTATTGTTCAAGGGTAATCATTTAATAGATATATAACTGGAGAGATGAAGTAGTTTAAATAGGATGCCTAGTAAATATAAACATTTTTTAAAGATTTTTTTTTTTTTGACAGGCAGAGTGGACAGTGAGAGAGAGAGAGAGAGAGAGAGAGAGAGAGAGAAAGGTCTTCCTTTGCCGTTGGTTCACCCTCCAATGGCTGCCGCAGCCGGCGCACTGCGCTGATCCGATGGTAGGAACCAGGTGCTTCTCCTGGTCTCCCATGGGGTGCAGGGCCCAAGTATTTGGGCCACCCTCCACTGCACTTCCTGGCCACAGCAGAGAGCTGGCCTGGAAGAGGGGCAACCGGGACAGAATCTGGCGCCCCTACCGGGACTAGAACCTGGTGTGCCGGCGCCGCAAGGCAGAGGATTAGCCTTGTGAGCCACGGCGCCGGTGAAATCATCTTTTTTTTAAGAAATTCTAAGTTCTGTTGTATTCTTGGGAAGGGATTTGTTGATTCAATCAGTAAGTCTCAGAATCTAGATTTATAAGTACAACTTGAGAATTAAAAAAATAACCCTGTACTAATAATAAACATTTAGCATTAATTTCATAGTACATTTGCACAGGTCAATGTCTTAACTAGTTTAAAATTTATTGTATTACAGAAAAAAACATTTTTTAAAAAAAGCTATTTCCCAACAATTCTTCCCTAAGGCTATCAGCACTGGTACTACCTGCCACTTGAAGAGTCCTGTGGCCCCGTTAATCCCCAAAGCTAACGGAGCTTTGTGGTAGCTGAATCACTTCCCTTGCTGAACATTGAACCTACAGCCAGCGTAAGCCCCAAAAGCATGACTGCTGCTCCTCTTTTTCCCTACTCTAGAAATGCGGCATACTTATAGTGCAAAACAGGTCTCTCCTACCAGCAGCCGCAGCGGTATCCGCGCCATCGTGCTTCTCATGCCACTCCATTGTCCTGTAGTAGCTGAGCATGACTTCCCAGAGAGCTTTGCACAGGTCTGCAAGGCAGGGAATGTAGCTGTCTGGTATGACGTGCTGAGGAAAACGCAGAGCCAATTTGTAAATGATTGTGTTTAACACAGTTAGACAAAACATTATGCGGTCATGAACTCACTAAAAATCAGTGATAACTAAGAGGTTTTTCTACTGACATGCCAATGGTAAAAATTGTTTCTTCAAGTAATTATCATTTCAACATGGCTTATCACCCTTTAGCAACACTGCACCACATACTGAGAATCAAATTTTAGACACAGAGCCATAAAGTCTTTGAGAAATTATAGCATAAGCAAGTGTTGGCCTAAACATCAGCATCATAACATAATGGATTTTTTCAAAGCAATGCTTCTAAATCTGCAAATACCCCTTTATATTTATCCTTGGATGCAAGCCACACTTGCGATAACAGAATTCATATTTACAATTCAATCATTTCATTTGTGTAAATTAAGTAAACACCTTCAAAATTTTGTAAATTCCTGAAATCAAATGGATATCAATATTCTATATTGGATAATAATGTTTTAAAGTAATATTCTATATAACAAGGCTGCAAAACAGTGGAACCCCAAACCTCCTCCTTAATAGAAATACATGGATTTCCCCTCTTTATCCTTTGTAAAAACAACTCACTTGCCATTCTGCCCTTTTTTGCTATTCCACTTTTGCAAGCTTCCCATCTGTCATAAGGTAGTATTTGTGGCATCATTTGAGAGTACTATACAGCCATGAGAAGTAATTTTGGGTAATTTTTCGTAGTTAATGTCATAATCACTATCTTTAAAATGAATAGGTCTAAATCCTTCCCCCCATTAATTTTCAATATCTCATTACATCTGACATATCTATACCACACACACAAACTGAAAGCCAATAGCAATTAGCAAGGCCAGGAAAAGGCTACAAGTAGATGGCAATAAAAAGCAAAAACCACAAAAAGTTTGGGACTGACTATAACCACATAGCCAAACAAAGTTACTCCTCTACAGGCCAATTTCTCTTTCTCAAACTCAACTTTGCATAAATTTATATTTATATTATTATTTTTTTTACAGGCAGAGTGGACAGTGAGAGAGAGAGAGACAGAGAGAAAGGTCTTCCTTTACCGTTGGTTCACCCTCCAATGACCGCTGCAGCATGCGCGCTGCAGCCAGCACACCATGCTGATCCGAAGTCAGGAGCCAGGTGCTTCTCCTGGTCTCCCATGCGGGTGCAGGGCCCAAGTACTTGGGCCATCCTCCACTGCACTCCCTGGCCACAGCAGAGAGCTGGCCTGGAAGAGGGGCCACCGGGACAGAATCCGGCGCCCCAACTGGGACTAGAACCCAGTGGCCGGCACCACAGGAGGAGGATTAGCCTATTGAGCCGCAGCGCCGGCCATATTTATATTATGCAAATAAATTTAATCTAGGTATATCAGAACATTCGTTCTGCTAGTAACGGGAAGGTAAGGTGAGTCATATTTTTCCCAAAGAAAAATTATTACTATCCAAATAATTGCGTTATAGTCCACCAATTAATTTCTGCTATCCTTGTCACAGTTTAACAAGCCAGAAAATTGAAACTTGGATCTACTACTACTTTTGCTATTTTCATCTTATGAACTTACCAAGACACAATCCAGTAGTAAGACAAGACCTGCCTATTCTTTTTTTGTTTTTTAAGATTTATTTTATTATTTGAAAACCAGAGTTAGAGAGAGAGACACAGGGAGAGAGAACGGGAGAGGAAGATAGAGAGAGAGAGAGAGAGAGATCTTGCACACACTGGTTCACGCCCCATGTAGCTGCAACAGCCAGGGCTGGGCCAGGCCAGCCAGGCCAAAATCAGGAGCCAGGAGTTTCATCCAGGTCTCCCACACAGATGCAGGGGCCCAAGGATTTGGCCCATCTTCTGCTGCTTTCCCAGGCACGTTAGCTAGGAGATGGATCAGAAGTGGGGCAGTCAGGACTAGAACTGGCACCCATATAGGATGCCAGCAGTGCAGGCAGAGGCTTAACTCCTTAAGCCACAACACCAGCCCCTCTCATTCCACTATTCAGCATTCCAATCAATCTACTTGATTAAAACAAAAATGATGAAATTAGCTTACCAAAACCTCAGGCTTGATTATAAATAAGTTTGTCACTTCCAAAAATAGTGCAGGGGTTGGCACTTCGGGTAGCAGATAAAGCTGCTGTCCGCAGTGCTGGCATCCCATGTGGGCGCCGGATTGAGTCCCAGCTGCTCCACTTCCGATCCAGCTCTCTGTCTGTGGCCTGGGAGAGCAGTGGAGGATGGCCCAAGCATTTGGGCTCCTGCACCCACATGAGAGACCTGGAAGAAGCTCCTGTTGTGGTCATCTGGGGAGTGAACCAGCAGATGAAGACTTCTCTCTCTCTCTGCCTCTGCCTCTCTGTAATTCTGCCTTTCAAATAAATAATAATAAAATCTTTAAAAAATCTAAAAATAAATATAAGTGGCCTGAGTTTGAAGCACATAATGTAGGAATATCATCTTTTGAAAACTGCTTACGTGCCAAGTAAAGCAGTAAATATGGGGGGGGAAAAAGAGGCTGCTAGAGTTAGTTTTTTACTTCTTATTATATAATTTACTTTTAGGCCCATCAGAAATCTCTATTATCAAATCCCTATAAAATTTCAGAAAGATGGTTTTTATATTGCAACATCAAAATGAAAAGTCTTAAGGGACATCCTTAAGGCATTATTAAGGCATTATTCCCTAAATAGGTTTGACACTGTTATCGCGTCCCAGTCAGCATAAAGGGAACAGGCGTTTTGGCATTCTCACAGCAAACTCTTGGCCCCAGCTTCCCCCCACCCACCCACCCCCACACACACTGACACAGGGATTCTGAAACAAAACACAGTGGGGTCAGTGTCCTGAGATGACTGCTGTTGGCTGTGAGCTCACATCTCCAGACACTCCTGCTTTATCTCAAAGGCTGCTGGTCACAACAGCACCATCTCAGGGGCTAAAGACAACTGCGCATCGCTGAACTCTAGACCTCAATGAGCTGAACGTCTGAGCCCGACTGTATATAATCCCTCCAATCCCTAATTCCCTCTGTAAGTGACAAGCTGCACAAAATGTAAGTATCTGAAGGACTTGTTAACCACGGGAAATCAGAGAGGAGATACCATATGGAGGAAGGAATACTGAACATGGAACATGCATGAGCTTGGGACCCAGTCATGCAACCTACTTGGTCATAACTCTTGCATCTCTATCTTTAGTTCCCAAGAATTAAAAGTAACTTATTGAGTCTTCGGGAAGCTTTAAAAACTACAACTCTCTATAATTAAAATTTTTTGTTACCTTTAAGCAAAGCATTCCCTGTACCTGGCTGGCTTCATTCATCATGTACACAGTTACAGGATGGGCATCTGGCCTGGCAGTTACGACACCAGTTACAATACCCTCACCCTGTATCCGAGTGCCTTGGTTTGAGCACCATATGGGCTCCTGATCCCAGCTCCCTGCTGATATGTACCCAGGGATACTGCAAGCCCACTCAAATGGTCAGGTCCCTGCTGCTACCAGGGGTACTTGGGTTGAGTTCTCATCTCCTGGCTTCAGCCTAGGCCAGCTCCAGTCATTGCAGGCACTTGGGAGTGACCCAGCAGATGGAAGCTCCCTCTATCTGGCTCTTTACCGCTTAAATAAATGAAACACATTTTTAAAAAAGGAAAAAAAAAGTATTTTCTTTAAACAACAAGAAATCACAAATTTCTCATCTACCAGGTATTTTTATCATTAATGTTAAATACGTATATACACATAAAGACATGCAATATGTGTGATATAAATGATCCCAACATGGAACTAAGCAGCACCCATTAAACTGGGGAATAAGGTTCTCCTTTAGCACCATTCCCAGGTCTTTTTGATGGCTGTAAATGGCCTTTACAAAACAGATAATACTATAAAACAAGCAAAGCATTCACAATTAGAATAATTATTTTTCAAAGTTGCAAGTGACAAAATGCTGATCTGCTGAGATCACAAGAAGAGAAGTATTGAAATACACAAACACTATCAAATTAAGGTTAGGGTTTTGTGGCAAGTTTCAAAAATACTTTTCTAGCAGTAAATTAGTTTTGTGTGCCACCTTCTAAGAAGTAGATGGGCTCTTTCAACTGTTAATCCCAATTACCACCCACCCCACGTTACCCAGCAGTGTCGGTGTTGATTGCTTCAGGGGTTCATAGATTTGGACACTAGAGAGGCTTTGCCACATGCAAGCCAGTTTCGAGTGAAGAGAGCACCTCTCCATGTCCAGCGCTGAGAGGAAGGCTGGTTCTCCAAGTGACTTCAGCCCTGAGCATCTGTTCCACGGGCACTCATCAGACCCAGGGTACCTGAGAAGCAACCAAACTACCATTCTGACACATAAATAAACCAAGCCACACAGGCCACTGCTCCTTTCCCCTGTGTGCTCCTGTGTTCCTGATGAAACCCAAGACCAAAGTCAAACACAGATGTCTCCTCTTAACAAAAATGTTCAGTTGTTCCTTCCTTAGGAAACTTAAAGAGCTGTGTTGACATCTCCGACAGTTTACGCCATTTGAACTTTTCTTATTCTACCTCTGGTCATGACTAATGTGACCTTACCAGATTATAAATTCTTCCAAGTCTTATTTATCCTTGCTGCCCTGAACTAATCATTGACGAACAGAAGCTGGAAAAGGACAAGTGCAAGGGGCACACCTAGGATGTAAGAGTGCTAAGAGAATGCAGTCCTAGGTCTTCTCACTACATCAGCATCCACAAAACTCTAACAGGTTAGCAGATCATTTTGCAAGGAAAATAAAATTTCAGACCCTTCAGAATTCTTGACAATCCAAAGAACAAAAACCAGGGAAAAAGGAAAAGATGGATAAATTTTCCTTACCAATCTTTTGATCATTAAATTTCAATTTTAAAAACTATCAAAAGGCCGGCGCCACAGCTCAATAGGCTAATCCTCTGCCTGCAGTGCCGGCACACCGGGTTCTAGTTCCGGTCGGGGCACTGGATTCTGTCCCGGTTGCCCC